TGTGCCCTGCGATTGGCTGGCAACCGGTTCAGGGTGTCCCCCGCTTCCTGCGCGAAGACAGCTGGGATAGGCTCCAGCACGCCCCGCGACCCTTTGTGAGGAGAAAGCGGTTCCGAAAATGGATGGATGGATGGATTGCCTTGTTCACAGCACATTAGCGAAATCCTGGTTTGTTGAAACTAGATCGATAGGAACTTAACCTGTGTCAGGCTGTCAGTATCACATTCATTTTTGCATGTTAAACTACCTTTTGAAAGTAATCGATCGAACTGGGCACTCGCCTCTCTGCCCGGCCAAATGGCAATTTACAGATTGAATGTGATTTCAGGATGGTGTTGTACTGACGTTGGCGGCAACAGTATATGATGGCAGAATAAGGTGGGATACCAACTGAAACAATGCGATATGATGAGAACAGCCGTTTCAAGTCAGCGGAGTCATGCATCTACCATTTGCTGGCTAGATATGTGGATCTGACCGATGTGTCATTGCTGAATATTTACCAGCTTGGTGTAGATCTGTTCGTAAAATAAAATGTGTAGAAGGAGCTCATATCAATGATTTGGAAATTGTGTTCAACCTATATTTAATTGTCCGACTTGTGTGCAGGCAGCGTGGGATCGATACCCATGCTGTGACGCTGTGGATGTGAATGGTTGTTTGTCTCTATATGTGCCCTGTAACTGACTGGTGACCAGTTGAGGGTGTAGTCTGCCTTTTGCCTGGAGTCAGCTGGGATAGGCTCCAGCAACTCCCTGGAACCCTGTTCAGGATAAGCAGTGTTGAAAATGGACAGAGATGGGAGGAATGGGAGGAAACCGGAGTACCCGTGAAAATCCCACCTAGGCATGGCCGGAATCGGATTCCATCCCTGCACCTCTGCCGGCATGCTAACATTGTCCCAAGGTGTGAGTGTGAGCACAGATGGCTGCTCTTCTCTGTGTGCCCTGCGATTGGCTGGCAACCGGTTCAGGGTGTCCCTACTGCCCAAAGATGGCCGGGATAGGCTCCAGCACCCCTCGCGACCCTTGTGAGGATAAAGCGGATTGGAAAATGGATGGATGGACTACTAAAGGGTCATGCATTTCTTATGCATTTTCATTTCAATACAAAAGTGGAAAGTACTGGCAATAGCAACCTACTTGATGTGCAAATGCCGGTGAACATTGTGTTTGCATTTTTCAAATCCATGTTCACAATTTGAAAGCACTATTCACATTTCAACACACTGCCATTCAACCAGTTTTTCACTTTTTGTCACTGTTGCAGTGAAATAATTTGAAATTTGAGAGCAGAAATAGGTGAAGTAAGTCAGTGTACTGAACACACAATTCTATGCAAGAATGCTGTCACTTTTATACACACATTCAGTTGAAATAGTGAAAAGTATTACCAAGCTGACAACAGATTATTTGCATTCAATGTAACACTGTAAGCGCACTGCTTTTTAGCTACAAGCTGAGCCGCCCTAATATATTGACCAACAGTGAATAGGGTGTCCTTGTTTCTCAATGCAATGTCGCCTGCTGCTGTTGCATAACTGACTTCTTTTTGACCTGGTCTATCTGCCTTTGTTAAATGTAGTGTGGTGACCAAATGTAAAAACACTCAGCCCATCTGAAGTACAAAACTAACTCTACCCTTCACATCACGGCAACTGTATGGCAACAGTAGGGCCTGGCTTGGGTTGACAGACCCTGATCGAAACTAATCAAACACAATCTATACAGTACGAATATATCGTGTCACGTTCATGCAGAAAATGATCCCACTGGTTGCTACAGGCAATAGGGCCACGCTTTTAGAATCCACCAATAAAAGTAACACATTCTGAACACACATTTGTTGACTGAGCCCCGCTCCCCCTCCAAAAAACATTCAAAGACTATGTACAGTACACGGATGGATAGGTGGATATTGTTACTATAAATGTCATTCATTGTGACTGATCAAATGTGATATCTTGACTGTGTCTCTCAATGAATATTATCGTCTTAATGAAGGACATACGAAGCTAGTGATAAAATTAACACCCCCCCAAGCTGCCCCCCCCCACCCCCAAACCCACAAGGGTAGCACAAGGCACCGTAACTGTTTGAATGTTGCAACAATCTGCAGAGAGCTTAATCTTGTCGCTGTGGATAGAAAACGGAGAAGTACATCTTTTAGAGAACAAACCAGAAAATAATGCTTGGTCACAGCCACTGCTGCCGAGTTACAATTCTGTCAGCATGTAACTTACAGTATATTTGGAAAAAAAATGGAATCCATAACGCAACGATTTCAATGCCCCATTTCATGTTGGAATTAAGGTCAAGGAAGAAGCCGAAGTGTCAACAACCGCGGCTTATGAACACAATGTTTTGAGCGTATCACTGCCCTGTGGTGAATGAACATCTTGTCAAAATGTCAACAAATCAGACACTGAACTATTAATTACACTGATTATAATGTACTGTAAATGCAATGCTTTGATGTGAGATTTGAGGCAACAATGATCTTCGATCGACTGTTTTGTCACAAGCCATGATTATACTCCCACTTAGACATAACATAGGACAGTTACATGGGGCCCATAGCAATGGATTTTGGGGCAGATGCAAAATTAAGTTTTAGGGCCTTCTATTTCTACCAATAATCTTGATTATTGATCATTTATGCACCTTCAGTACACTTTTTTGCAGAAGGACATTCATCTAGACTAGAGCCTGATCAAAAAACATCACTATACATTGACTGGAAAAGGGTCATCTGGTGTATTATTTTGTCTTTAATGACTAATGACTAATGAAGTCATTTGCAACAATAGTTTGCCAGTGCAAGAACAACAAAAAAGTAACACTTTGTTTTCACTTTTGTACATTTTATTTTACTTTTGTACATTTGTATTCCACATTGGTTATTTTGTTTTCCCAATGTAAATTTGTTTTAGAGTGGGGGGGGGGCAGAAAATAGTATTTTGAGAAGGAGTGAAGCTCTGTTGGGTGTTGTTGTTGCCAAAAAGTGAACTCTGCCAAACTTTTGATCTATGTGTTTAATCTTTTTTTCTTTTTTCCGTCCTCCCTTCTGCAATAGAGAAAAAGACCAAAGAAGACACCCAACTCTTACAGTATTAAAATCAGGATCATCCAAACACTGTGACATGTACATGGATTCGTTGTAAGACATTCATAGAATCAAATCCGAAAGAAAAGTTTCCAGTTCCTCATTTTGCTTTTATGCCTCTGTTGTTGTGCGTTGTGTTCTGCACATTTCACATAAAAGACGTTTCGTTTAAGACGCTGTTATGGATGGAATTGTACTATTTTACAACGAGCTTAATCTATATTTATTGTGTTTCTGTGTGTATTCTATGAGTGTATACTCTTACAATATTGAACCATTTGATGTTTTCTACTTTCAGTGACATCATTTTAACCAGTATGTATGTTGATATAAATGGACCTTGTAAAAGCACTATGAATTAAAAAAACAATTGTCTAAAATGATCTTATACTCTTGATATCACACTTAAAATCCAACCTGTATGCTTTATATGATGTTGCCAATTCTAGAAATGGCTTGTAAAAGTTCTCACTTCAATTTACAGCGTTCAGTTGTTTCTTGAGAGAGGTTTGCCAACACTTTTGCACAAAAGTGTTGCAGAGTTTGTCCGAAGCATGATGAGTCACATCTGGAGCGCCAACAGAAATCTTCCATGTGCTTGCTGTTATATCAAGCCCATCATTTGATGCCCTTATGTGGCATATACTGAAGCTATTTATTCATATATTTTCATCTTTGCAGCAAACTTAGTACAGTATTTACTCACTTTACAAACAAAATTGAAGGAGAGAGTCGAATAGAAACACTCCATTTTACGCACGACTGAATTGATATCCAAAGTAATTCAAGTGTTTTAGACATTTAATAAATAAACTAACAATCACTAACAATCCTCATCTTGGTATTTTAACCCTTTTAGGGACAGCGGTTACTACAATGGACAGCTTATCATGTAACCGGGTTACAGGGTGCATGAAAGGGTTAAACTCAACTTTTTTTTGTTGTTGTTTTTTTTGGTCATGAATTTTAGTTAGTCATGGAAAGGCCAGAGTTACAACTATGAGCAATAATGTTGTCACTATCAGATCGCAGAACGCCTTGATCAGGTAAGAAAAAAGTATTGTTTTATTTATAGTAATCAATTTGTCGATAATCATCACCACGAACACACACCAAGAGTTTTTCTGTAAAAGATTGATTGCAAAAGTATTTCCCTTTAAAAGTGTTGTATCAGCAGCCAAAAGGATTCTATTTAACATATTCATTTTCTTCCTAAATTTGTTCAAAATTGTACAAGTGAGCTCATCCCAAAATAATCCACTCACATGACAGGTGAGTCATGTCAAGATGCTGATAAGTGTGTGATTATTGCGGTGGTGTTCCATGGACCCGAGAAAAGCCAGCTCTAAACTATGCAGACATCATTTCAGAGAAATTGTCAGTACATCGGAGAGGCCTCACAAACACAGACCACATGTAACGACACCACACCATGCCAGGTCCTCCACAGAGAACATTTGATATCGTACTTTATTTCAACAGAGTCAGGAACCTTCATCAGGATGAATGTTTGTTGGCTAACCGGGGTCTTAGCCTGACTGTAGTACTAAATGTCGCTAAATCATGCGGACATCGCACTCACTTGCCTGTCGCCCTCTTCACAGATGAATGCCAGTTTACACTCTACTGGACAGATGGCAGACAACAGGTATGGTATCAGGTTGGCAAGGATCTATGCACAATTCCTGGAAGCTGAAAAAAAAAATCCTTGCAGCCAGCATATTCATATTCAAACCACTTCCAATGTCGATGGCGCGTTGTGCGAATAAAATGTAAATAAAAACCGAATCTTTTTTTTCCAATTCTTTTACAACCTATATTCATTTGAATGAACTACAAACCATTTTTAATGTTCAAACTGTGGAATGCCATTTTTTTTTCATTTTTATTTTTTTCCGAAGAGTCTCACATTTCGAACTTCATGCCTGCAACACGTGACCAAATAAACTGGGACGGGGCAACAAAAGACTGGTAAAGTTGAGGTGAAAGTTGAAACACTAAAAAAACGGTTTTGAACATTCTGCGGGTGATAAGCTTCATTGGAAACTAGTGAGTGTCATCATTGGTTATAAAAAAGAATATCCCCAAAAGACTCAGTTGTTCAAAAGCAAGTCTGGGATGAGGTTCAGCAATCTGTGAACAAATAGCTTTGAACCGTTTTATGCACCCCGTAACCTGATAACATGATAAGCTGTCCCTTTTATGCACCCCGTAACCTGATAAGATAATAAGCTGTCCACTGTAGTAACCACTGTCCCTGAAAGGGTTAAATGACGTTTCTCAATTTACAATTGCCAGGAATTTTGAGATTTCATTATCTCTGGTCCATAATATCATCCAAAGATTCAGAGAATCTGAACAAATCCGTGCACAAAAACGGCAAAAATCATAATTGAATGGCCGTGACCGTCGACCCCTCAGGCGGCACTGCATTACAAATATCATTGGGTAAATGGTACTGCCACATTAGCTCAGGAACACTCCAGAAACCCACTGTTTGGTAATACAAGTTGTTGCTACGAATGCAAATTCAAACCATGAAAAGCAAAAGTCATACGTCAACTTCTGACCTGATCTCATCTGAGATAGACTAAGTGGGATGTGGTCTGATGAGTCCACATTTCATGGATGTTGTTTCACAACTTTAACCTGGGGGTGGGCCGTTCCGGTCCTCAAGGGCCACTATTCGGCATGTTTTAGAATGGTTCCCTCTTCCAACACACCTAATGCAAATGATCAGCAAATCATCAAGCTCTGCTCATACGAGATAACAATCATGATCAGTGGACTTTCCAGTTTGTCATTCGCGCAAAATTTGCCCATGACATTAGTTGCTTGCGCACCATTAATGCTTCCGCATATTAATAGTATTAGAAATAAGACTTGCAGAAAGCTATCAAATGTGTGGAGGGAGATTGATTTAAAAAAAATTATCAAGTTGATCCTTAGCTGTGGTATGTATCGCTGGTGAATGTCTGTGCCAGCGGACTTTTTTTTCAGAGCTTGTTAGACAATGTTCACCCACACCTGCACTGAGTGATTCTGCTCCAAACATGTTCCCTGTTGGTGCCGACAAACCGTTGAATTTTTCTGAAAGAAAAACGAGATTACTCTAAAATGGGAGTCATTGAATAGAAATGTGCGCAGGCCACCCGCTAATTCCAAAACAAAATTCATTTTATAATTTTAAGTTATATCTGTAATCATTTGACTTTATTATGTTTAAATGGCGGTCCATCGCAATGCGTCAGTGTGAAACAACAACGGTAAAACAGTTGGTCCATGGCGCAAAAAAAAAAAGGTTGGAGACCACTGATCGAAGGCACTTGAGGCACACCTCGTTTTTTTTTTTTTTTTTTAATGAAACTCCAAACATACAGTCAGTCATAATCACAGTAATGTGAAAACAAATATTGGATATATAAAATCAAATATATAAAATAAAAACGCATGCGCTCCACTACACTTCAGGCTTTCCATGCAACTTACGCTGTCAATCACTCCCTGTTGCAATCATTAGCAATATACTTGTGTGGGAGTGTCCAAAGTCTGGATGTCCAGAAGTGTGCAAGTTCAGGCGCTGAAACGAAAAAAAAAAATCCTAATACATAAATGGTAGAATATGGCCTTTTATGCATATCCATTGGTTTAAATTGAATTTTTTTGAATGCTGAAGTATCCCGCCATTGGCTGGCGACCAGTTCAGGGTGTCCCCTGCCTACTGCCCGAAGACAGCTGAGATGGGCTCCAGCATGCCCGCAACCCTCATGAGGATAAGATGGATGGATGGTTGAATGCTGTAGTTCACCGTTATAGCTTTGACCAAATATTGCGTTCTGGAAGAATTTTATAAATAGATGTAAATGAAAAGTAACATTTTCCAACCAAACTATGGAAAGCCAAACATTGCGAATTCCTATTGCTATTATTTTTTACAGCCTTTCGAGAGAGATGATCCCCATTCAACAAATTGAACACCACTGAAAATGTGAATGAATAATTTTGGCCTCAATTGTTTCTGGTTTAGTCAATTCTAAATTCTGAACTACTTTAGTTGGAGACAAAACACTCAGTAATATTGTTAAATAATATCTAGAGTGTGAAATTATACCTTCCACATATTGCTGTGACACAATGCCTATTTCGATTACTTTGATTTTCACAAACTTGAGGACATTTTTACAAACTGCACAAATACTGCAAACCGTTTTTTTGTTTCTTTTTTTAACCGCCACCAATTAATATCGTCATCCTTGTGGAATGAAATGTAATGGGAAAAACCAGAAGGAATACAGGCACATGTGTTGCAGTAAGCCCACAGACAACCACAATTACAAAGAGCAAACCGGACAATAACTATGAATAAAACAGACAATATAAAACAAATAGTGCTCTTATTAAAACAGGAGAATTGCAGACTGGACATTTATTAGTTGCCCATGGGTAAAAAAAGTGGTTATCAGTCCTTTGGGGAAACATCCTCACAAGCCAAGGTATGCATGTTTCTTTGTTAAAAGGAGGTAGCGAGCAGGGGTTATATCCCCCTTTGGCATTTTCTGAAACTCCCGTATCTCCTTTGTGATAATCAGAACCTCCAAAACTGATACTGTCGCTTCATCTTATCTTCCAGTCATGTACGGGTATGTGTGTGATTAAATGGGTGTGAATGTTGTTTGAAGTGTGTGTGTGCGAATAATGAGATGTGGTTTTAGTGTATAATTAGGTGTATCTTAGTTGCTGGTTTCTTGTTTGATTGCTCATTTTTGATGACATTACGAAAACGTTTTTCACAGCCTTTATAGAAGCGATGTGATCAAATGCACTCACAAAATGTAGTTGGTTTTTCAAAGCGGGTGCCATTTGATAACTGAGCAACACAAATAAGGAATTTATACAGGACATCTGGGGTACTTTTACGGCAATCATATATTCAATGCCTCAAAAGAGCTTTAATATGCAAAGAAACCAAATAATCTTCTGAACCGTTACATCTGACTTCAATCATTGTAGCGGTGTATTAAGTGGCCCTTGAATGGGAGACACGGTCACTGATGATTGGCCACCAAGGGAGGTGGCAATATAGAGCCGGTGATAAATGTGAAGTTTTGCAGGCTCCCCTAAAGCAGTAGACGCACTCTGTTGCTCCCACCCACACCAATTTACAGAAGTTAAAAGTTCCTTTTTCACTTGACTTGGCCAAGAGTGAGCCTTTGCTTATTTTCTATTTGTATTTGATCCTATTGAAGGCCTCTTGGAGTGGTTGGGCTCACAAGAGTAAACTAAACAATAAGGGAGGCAGAGGGACATGTTTTGGTTATCGTTAAATGAGAGGAAATTTTGAAACATTGTGCAATGGTGCTGCAAAAGTTTTGAAAGGTTGTGAGAGCTTTTGGTCTGCAAGGTGTCTGAGCCCACTCGTTGGAGAAGAAGCCCCCATGTTGCATCCCTACAGAATGGAGAGTTACCTCATTACACCTGTAAGTATCACATCTTTTTTTTTTTTTTAATTGTCTTCCAAAGGCTCTGAACGGTCACATGGTTAGTAGAAAATATCGACCCGCTGTTGATTTTTTTTTTTTTAACATTGATTTTATTTTTTTAACTACAAATGTAAGAGTAGTCCTCTCATATTTGAAGAATTACCATGAGTTCTACTTTGTGTACAGGATGTCAACTCTAACAGCCCTATATACTACAGGCGACATGAAAATGAAACTCCAAAGTTCTTGAGAGTTTCAGAATAGAAGTGGCAAAAAAAAAATATATAAAAAAAAAATCAAGAAACCCTGATTTGTATTTTATCAATCTAAATATATGTGTATGTACATAGTTAGCATTTTCTTGATGAAATACAAAATGAAATGGATTTTGTGAACATGCGACTAATACAAGAGACATTGATTGAAATATACTCACTCCAAATAAACCTTGTTGTTTCTGATGTATGTTTCACCTATGGCTTTCACACCTGATGGTGTTCTATTTGAATGTGCTCTTCTAGTCCTCAGAAGAAATGTATGATCCCGAGATCTACAGACATCAAATTCCGGATTATTATAGTCCATATGTTCTGGATACAGAGATGCAGGCAGGTCAGTTTTACTCCTGGATTTTATGCCTTTTATTTTGATATTGTTTAAAAGTATGATGACATGTGTCTTGTTAGGCTGAATTTTAACCGAAATATTGATATATATATATATATATATATACACACACACACACACACACACAATATCATGTTAACTAAAATATTTTTTAATGAATTAGAAATAAACCTCATAACCTGATGAGTAATTCCATTTGGATATGTTTTTAAAAGTTTTAGACAATTAATCATGGTAAAAAAAAGAATATTTTTTTGAAAATAAACCTCATAACCTGATGAGTAATTCCATTAGATATGTTTTTAAAAGTTTTAGAAAATGAATCATGGTAAAAAAAAGAATATTTTTTGATGATTTTTTTTTTTTTTTTTTTTTTTTTTTTTTTTGTTTTAATGAGGCGAATACGATGCGTGCAGCTGAAGCGCACAGGAAACAGATGCTATTTTTTGGGCTGCTGCACCTACAGACACAGAAAAAAAAAATTCGCCCCAAGGGGTTTTGTTGACTTTCTCTTGGTAGCAATAGTTTTGAATATTCCACCAAAACAGACTTAATGAAGTGAAGAGCAAATAAGTATCCCTCGTCATTGTGTCGGAAAAAAAAAAAAAAAAAAAAAAGATTTCCCCTCAATGTGGCATGAGGGAGTACTGATGCAACGAACATGCTGACAATATATTTTTATTCTTTTATATCTTGCACATTTTATATTACATTTCATGAATCCAATATTTTAAAATAAGGCATAATCTTGAATCTGGCAGCATTCATACAATATTGAGATATATAATATTCTTGTCAAAACCTTCCTTTTTCCATCGAAAATCTCACTGTTGGTTTGAATAAAGGTCGGTGTTGTGATAATTCTGAAGTAATCCCATGTTTCATTGTGATCTCTCATTAGGTCACTGGGACTACCACGACGGTCACAGTCATGTACACCCGACAGAGTTTGAAAACCTTCAAGAGACAAACTTCACAGAGCTGCAAAGTGTGCAGTCCCTGCACCCGCCCGGTCTCATCCGGCACGAAGTCATGCGCTACGATCCAGAAAATCTACT